CCAACAATATCACCACAAGAGCCGCTTTACTCGGTATTTACAGTACTATGGTGATGTCGTACTTTCTTATATAGTTGCCACTGGACTGTGCGTCTTAATCGAATTTTGGTGGGGGAAAGCTTTTCCTCGGTATTTACAGTACGTTTGGTGATGTTGGTGATGAAGGGTGCTTGCTTTTTGGTGATGTTGGTGATGAAATGTGCTTGCTTTTTCGTGAGCATAGTTCGGTATTTACAATACTCTTGGTGATGTTGGTGATGAAGAAAGGTGATGACATGTGTTTGATTTTTCGTGATGTTGGTGATGAAATGTGTTTGCTTTTTCGTGATGTTGGTGGAGATGATGCTGATGACACTGACGAAGTGTAGTTTGTAGAGGGGGGTGGCTAGTAGTAGTAGTAGTAGTAGTAGTAGTAGTAGCAGTAGTAGTAGTAGTAGTAGTAGTAGCAGCAGCAGCAGTGGTAGTGGTAGTAGTGCGGTAATAGTGGTAGTAGTCGTCGTAGCCGACTCTCTTTCTTTCGTCAGGGCTGTTGTGGGGAGTCTCTCTGAGTCGCTCTTGCTTGCTTGCTTGCTTGCTTGCTTGCTTGCTTGCTTGCTTGCTTGCTTGCTTGCTTGCTTGCTGGGTGTTTGGAGGACTGGGTCGCACAACCCCAACCCCCTGCGCCGGAGCGCGACGCCTGCTTCCAAGTCCGGTTGAGTCGGCGTGAGACTTAGGACACCCACACTTTGGCAGCCTCTTCTCCCAACACGTCCTTCGTGATCCTTAGTAATTCGGGTCCCCGGCTGCTAGGTGGCTGGTGTTGCAACCTTTGTGGTTCCTGTCCCCGCCATTGCGGGTGCGGTGCCGCCGCCCAGTCAAGTAGTGAGGTTAGGGAAGAGGGTCTCTCTCTTTCTCTCTCTCTTTCTTTCGCCAGGGTTGTGGCGCAAGGGGTTGCCCCCCTACGCCGCGCGCGTCTGCGCCCCCGACTGGTGCTTCTTTCTTTCCCCAGGGCTGTGGTGGGGAGTTGCCTCTGGTGCTTCTCTCTCTCTCTCTCTTTCTTTCGCCAGGGCTAGGGTGTAGAGGGTAGCCCCCCTACACCGCGCGCGGGTGCGCCCCCGACTATTGCGGGCAAGAGTGAGTTTCACTCACGCAAAGGCAAAAGGCATTCTCTCTCTCTCTCTCTCTAAAATGACGAGCTATGACGAGTGTACACTCTCATGAACATGTGCTTCTCCCGACTAATGAATTTTTTTGACATCAATACACAGTAATCCCTCGAGCAAGAAAACACATCTCCAAGTTGACTCACGAGTTCACAGCTGTCAAGTGGAGGTCGCAGAAAAGGCCTATGCAAACAGGTCTTCATGGAGACAGAACCCAAAACTACAACAGAGAAACACTGTTGTTTCCCTGCTCTCTCTCTCCCTTTCCGTCTCACTCCCACTGAGAGAAAGAAGCCGTGTGCAAGCTGAAGAAGCTCCTTCTGGTTCGGATCCCCGAGGCACGGCATGCCGAGCATCACCAGGCAAAGCAGCATACATCTGGAGCCATCCCTTTGTCGCGGGCAGAACTGTCCGTCTGCCACGTACTTGGCGTCCCTGGCGAAGTAGGTGCCGGAGCCCCAGACCGGGGAGTTGCGGCTCCCGGAAATCAAGGGCTGAAAGCCGGAGACTGGATCTCTGATGATCGACAGGAGCGACTCTTGGTCGGCACCATGAAAAGCCCAACAAGCATGGATGGAAGGATCGAAGTCTACCCCCTGCTCGCGCAAGGAGCTCCTCAAACCGTCCCTATAAGGGATGGTGCTGCACTCCATCTGTCCTCCGTTCTCCACCCTTTCTATCCTGTGGATGGGAAGACGCTCCCAGCTTGCTTGCGAGGAGAGCATGTAGGCCGGAGGCTCCACAGGTGCAGCCCGGAAGATGGCTTGGACTCTCCGAAACTCCTCGGACTTCGGAGAGACCGGGAAGAGCGCGGAGGTTTCCCTTCCCAAGCGCCCGGGCGAAGCCCACAAGCGGCGTAGCCGCTCCAGGGAGTAGCCGAGCCAATGCTGGGCCTCGAGGCGGCTCTCGGAAAGCTGGTTCCTCCAACTCTCGATCAAATGAAGCTCGGGGCCCATGAAACTCAAAGCCGCATCGACGAGTCTCGGGAGGGTATTGTTCTGTAGGATGGAACCCATCACATGCCGATCCCCCAGTCGGGTCAGGGACCCGGAAGCCAAGTAGCCACTGTTCGCCGTGTAGTACAAAAGGCACCGGTTCGCCGGCCCCGTCGTCATCAGCTCCTCGAGATCACCCCGGTTCCACAAATAGGCCTCATCGTTGGATCCGTGTGCTAAAACGATGGATGCCGCCGCCGGCAGCCGCATCGGCAGGCTGGGATGCGCATTCAGCATCACGGAGGGACCGTTCCAGTAGCCGAGTTGCCACAAGCCAACCAGATATGCTCCGCCCTGCGACGCTGCTATCACCACACGGGGCTGTACATTCACTATCTCATCCCGGATTTTGTTCAAGTAGGGGGCCACAGCATGGTAGCTGAGCCTGGCACCTTCGTCTGCATACTCGGGCAGGTCTCTGCACCAGTGCATCTGAAAGCCAGCGTTCGCCAGCAGGGCAGCTTGTTGGGGATGTCGCTCCCTTCCGAAGCCGGGTGCTATGATAAGGACTTTTGAGCTGGATCTCTCGTCCGAGGATTCCGGGCTGGAAGGGCTCAGCGGGCTGGAGCACGTAGTCGAAGGGCTGGAATCCCAAGCCTTCTGGAAGCGCGTGTGCAGGCAGAACGTCTTGAAATCCTGCCATTGCACACATGGCCTTCCAGCAGCCATGTGATCGAAGAGTGAGCAAACTGCATCGTAGCTGCGCTCATCCTCCAAGACCTTTCGGGCATCAAGACCCGGGAGCAAGTAGGAGGCCACGCGCGTGCTGCTCTGCATCGCTGCTACCATGTCGAGCTTTGAAAAAGAGCCGTTGGCATCAGCATCAAGCGAGCCAAAGACCTCTTTCATGCCTTTCTCCTCTGTCTGTGCCGCTAGACAGACATTTGCTAATCGGCGGAAGTAGGCTGCAAACTCGGGGTATTTGACCCGAGCACTTCCCCCAGACATGCTGTCGAAGACATCGTCGACGGCATCAAAGCTCTGCTCGTTGATGGCCACTTGACCACTAGGGTCGTTCTGCAGTTCAGGGGACAAGCCATGACCCTGCAAAACGAAGGAGGCAACCAAAGCATGCCTGTATACAGCTCCAATGAACTCAAGCTTCGAGATGGAGCCACCGCTGTCAGCATCAATGAGTCGGAAAACCGCCAGCAACGCCTCTTCCAGCTTGTTGCCCTGGCCGTTCTCTTCTGCCTCAAGTAGCTCCGCGAGAGACTTGCTTCTCACCTGTGGTTTGATCTCCTTCTCTAGCTTGGTCGCTTTGTCTTTGCCCTCCTTGTAACCCTCCTTTCCCTTGCGGCTTCTGCCATTCGTTAACGTGAAGGCCGGACGCTTTGCGTACATCATCGCGGCCCCGTCACACTCACTCCGCGCTGGTGGAGGTGGAGCCCAAGAACAGGGAAGGTTCTGCAAGCTTACTGGCTCACTGCAAGCTGCAAGAGACTTGCAAACGACACAAGCTCGGCCTAAGCACACACTCCAATGCCCCCGTTTTCACCGCGCTGCAAGGCCCCCAGACTCCCCGACCTCAGGTTTTCATCAGGAACTCGTGTCGACCGTATCGGGCTTGTCATGGCCTGTCTGTTTAGTGACTTAGACTTCGTGACCCGGCCAGAACCTCTTGGTCACGGGCCAAGCAGCGCGAGACATCGACGGAAGCGCACATGCCACGCAGCTCCTGCTCGTATGCCTGGCACTTGCGAGTCAACCCTAGCGCAAGGTGGCCAGCTTCCGTGCGTCAAAGCCACCGGCTGTCCGAAAGATCCCAAGCTCTCCAAGAGGAAACGGTCCAGAAGCACTTGTGCCAGCTGAGCGGGCAGCGCGCCCAACCTCTAAAGCGGGGGGAACTTTGAATCTGGCAGGCGCGAGCCCTCTCTCCGCAGCAGCGGAGAGGACGACAGGCTGCAGGTTCGGGGGCGCGGCAGCGGCACGGAGACGATGAAGTCCTTGTCTTTGGGACCTTCACCGAAGCAGCGATGTGCCTGATCCTGGCCGGAAACACCACAGACACAGACACGGGACATGCGCCCTTCCGCTCTAGTATAGACTTTTCGACTACTGGGGAAGGCACGCCAGGCTGGGAGCAGCTCACGTAGGGGTAGGAGCCTCGGAAAAGACTTGCGGAGACAGCGTCCGCTCCTCGAAGCTCGAGGCCAGGGCCCAGAAGCAGATCCTGGCTTCTAAGAGAAAGAAAGCGAAGAGGAACCCTAAACCCCTGCAACCCCTAAACCCTAAACCATCCTAAACCCAAAAAGGGACGAGCCGTGACCCTTGCCTGTGGAACCAGCCGAGCCAGCTCCCGGTAGCCGATGGCAGCCCAGCTCTTGGGAGCCGCAGGGGGCCTCTGGGAGTTTAGGACCAAACAGGGGGGACTCTTTTGGGTTGGGTTTGAAACTTCTGGAAGCCTACTATTTACGGCTAGAGAGGCCCGAAATATAAGCTAACCCTGTGTTCTGATCCCCCCGCGTTTAAACTTCAAGTCTGGGGTCTGCAGAGTGGGCTCCGGGCATGGGCACGGCGTCTTCCAGCGGCATGGGCACCGAAACACCAGGGCGCACCTGAGTCCGAGCAAGTCCCCAAAGTCAACATCAAGAGGAGAATTGCCTGAGATGCACCCTGATGCTCTCCTTGAGACTGCGGTTTCGGATTGGTGGCGTTAGAGGCTTTGAATCCTCAACTCGAACACGAAAAAACGCTTGACACGGGGGTTGGAGTCGCAAGTGATGCTGCTGGGCCGTCGATTTCAATAGAAACAGTCCGCACGGAGCCTAAATGGCGGTTTCACCGAAGGTGCTGGACAAAGTTCGGGCACCGACAAGACCCTATAAAACCGACACCCACATGATGAAAATAAAAACATAGGAACGCGAAAAGATCTCAGGATGCCTGCTGGGATGGCCAAGGTGGAGGCCAGGTGCCAAAGTAGGGAAAACTGATCGCGCAGGTCGTGCCTTTAAGGGCCCAAGGCAGAGCCCAAGGCAGAGCAGAGAGGGACATCGAAGACTTCTTCCCTTGCCCTTCTCGCCTCATGTATGGGTTCTGGCTCTCATCGTCGGGCCCAAAGATCTCGCTTAGGAAGGCTCGCCCTGGCCACAAAAAACTCAGAAAACACGCAGAGGGGGCAGAGGATCCGCCGAGCTTTGTCTCCGGGCCTTCGCGCGAGTTTCGGACAATCCAGTTCCCGCCTGCGCGCAGAGCAAGGCTGAGCAGGTGGCGTTGCACCGCTTCCATTGACTCCAGGCCACCAGCCAAGCCACGGCCGTCCTGACAAGGAAGCGGCGGGGGCAAGAAACCGGTTTTAGGGTGCCTCTCTCTCCTCGGAGATGAGGAAGTGCACAGAGGGGTCGATTTCCAACTTGCCCCATGGAGTCGCTCGCGAGGCAAAACGGTAGAGCAAAGAGTCCACGGTGACCTCACCACGGCGCGCAAAAAACACCGCAACACAAGGCCGTAAGAAAGGCTTGAAAGGCCAAAGGCTCTGAGGCCAAAAGGCAGTCATGTCCGTGAAGAGGGAGTCGCAGTCCATGGACAGGACCCAGTCCTTGGCCACTTAGCCGACTTGGCCCTCTCTCTCGGACTCTCATGCCCTCGTCCCCGAAGGTTTTCGGGTTCCGGGCGTACCTGCCGTCACCCAACCTGAGAAGACGTGCAACAAACTTAAGTTTGAGCATTCTGGGCCTTTCTTCTCTTCTGGCTCTGGGCCCCTGGCAGTTCCAAAGGCCCAGCGATCTGCCCCCAGACCGGGTGCCGGCCCTGGCAAAGGAAGGGCTCGCACAACTCTGCGGCACTTCTTTGTTCCCACGGGTTCTCGGCAGTTTCGATCGGGCCTTCGAAGACGCTGGTCTCTGCGAGGTCCACTCCTGGGAGATGCTGGGAGGCTGGGAGAGGCATGCTGGGAGAGGCTCAGCTCAGGGCCGCGCCAGGCCGTATCCGTGCTTTGAGCAATAGGCTTCCCGGTTCTGCCGCGAGCGACCAAGCCTGGAAGTACGACGAACAACAGCACGTTGTCCGCATCGAGCTGACCAGCCGCATCCAGAAGCACGGGTGCAAACTTGGACTCCGGCAGCCAATGCATCGGGGACTCCGGCGCGTAGTCGCACAAGGAAAAGACCGCGATGCGAAGGGAGGGGTCACGATAGTTCGGAGGCACCTTCAAAGAGAAGAAAGGATTCCGCCCACCACCCCTGGTGCATCGCACAAAGCCATTCGGCACCTGGAGGTCTGACAAGTGCCTTCCCAAGGTCTGTGCTCAAGGGTGATGCAGGCTTGGGAAGCGTTGTCGTGCTAGGCTCTGAAGGCAACGTCTCAGCTGAGCGACGGCAGCATCCTCAAATCGTTTCGCCGGAGATTCGCGGCATTTCTCAAGTAGGTCTCCATGAAATCGTCGAACCACCTTGTCCAAGCAACTCTGCGACTCGGAATGGCCATGGTGTCACATCTGGCCTGATGCCCCACATCTCGTACTGAAGGCAGGCCATTCCGTTCTCGGCCCGAGAAGCGTCCCAGAACATGCTCATCGCCTCAGACGGGCTCCAGGGCTCGAGGGACGCAAGGGATACGGCAGCCAAGAAAGACAGCCCTTCCGCATAGGGAGCCCTCGGTCTCCGGCAAGTTGGAACAAGTTGGAAGCCCGTTGGGGATAGCCTCTGCCATGGCCATGCACCGTGGGCAGCCGCCAGAAGTGTAGCAAAGCAGCTGCCTAGATGGAGGTAGAGCCGTCCCTGTCTGTAGAAAACAGTGGCAGCACCCATGCCTCACTTAGCTTTCTTGAAGTCAATTTTGCAGGGGGACGTCATATCCATGTGTGGAAAATCGTAGGGGCATGACGGCATTGCAGAGCGATGCCGGCATCCAAGGCGTGACTTTCCATCAGCGAGTGGTAGATCTCCATAGCCGCCTTGCCAGCAGGACTCGATTTCCGGGTTCTTGCCGGAGAGTTTGGGGAGCCCTTGGTAGGCCTGGTGCTGCATGGACTGCTCGAGCTCTGCTGCCTACCGCTCATCTCCGCTCATCGCTGCTGTGGCCAATGTGACCAGTGCCTTTTTGCAGCCTGGCCTGGCGCACAAAGTGGCTGAAGCCTTGCCAATCCTCCATCCAGCATAGCAACACAACCGCAGTTCAGAAGCGAGCACAGAAGCTGAGGCTGCAGCTGCGCCCTGCGCACGCGAGCATGTGGCGAACTCCAGACCTGGCGACGAGAGCCTCCCTCCGACTTGTGGCATACATGGCTTAGATTCCGAGCCCAAGGCACTCTGCGGGAAGGGATCCGCCTGGCCTCCAAGAAGCTGAAAGAAGGATTTCCGGCTGGGAGCATCCCATGAGCTCCCGGCGACTGCCCTTCTGCAAGCCTGCAAAAGCTGTGGCAAATGGAATATCTTACACATCCATCTTGGAATGCCCACACCTGCAGGAGCACAGGACCTGACGAAGCACAAAGCGCCCAGGTCCGGTGCTTCTGCATAAGCGCCCGGCGACCACGGATCCTCGCGTAAGGCCCAAGTTTATCCCGTTTGCGCTGCGACGCAAGAAACACTGAGGACAAGGTCCTGCCCATCTCCGTCCACTTGACGGCTTCGTTAACATGCCGGGTGTCAGCGACCTCAGACGGCACGGCAAATATGGAACGCTGCTGGCGGCAGCATGCACTTGAGCCGGGGCGTTGACCATCTAAGCCCTGGTCCGTGAGTTCATGGCGGTGCCGGTGCGTCGAGCAGTTCTGACTTGGGTTGCTTGTCTGCACGAACATGTGATGCTCTTTGTGACCTTTTTGAGCAACTTCCGCGGACCTTGTGTCATTCTGAATTTACTTCGTCTTGCAGCTGTCATGGCAGTGGCAATGGATGGCAATGGGTTCAACAAGGCGTCTGCCGGATGCATGGCTGTCCGGCTTTTGCGCCCCACATGGCCGCAGCATGGGATCAGCATGGGATCTGCATTGAACCGCCCAGTGTCCGTTCCAAAACTGGCCGCGTGGTAAAAACACCTAGTAAGCAAATCCAAACCACCGAAACAACTGCGACAACCTTTCAGCGGTCTGAGGTCCCGAAACAGCAACATGAGGACGTTTCCTTACCGATGGGTACACATCGGCCTTGCAAGGCGGCAAAGTCGGAAGCACATCCGGAGCGGAGAGCTGCAAGGAGCTTGAGTCGCTGTGGCGCCCTTGTTGACTGCGACTTAGCTTGCCGTGTCTTTCCTGCAGTCTCACTGGGAGCTCGAAAGCTTTGGGTCTAGCCCCGTCAAATTCCGGAGATGTCCGGCAAGAGCTTGAACGCGTGGTGATGTCAGCGATCAGCGCTGCACCAGACACCTCAGCAGCGCGGTGCGGAGATGAAACGACTACAGAGATGCCAGGTTGTCAGAGTCGAGCACAGGGCACGACCACCTCGATGGACTGGTCGCCTGGACAGGGCCGCGGCAGACAGCAACAGCAACTCCGTCCCCTCCCAGCTTCTGGTGGGTTCTCCTCTGCATCAATG